GGTGCAGTTCTGAATATATAAATTTACCATCTGCTGTGTCTCAATCTTGACCAATTTGCAATTATACTAACCAAATGGTGAAATGCCTTTGACTTCACAAATTAATAGGACTTTCTTTTGGATGGAAAAATTCTTAAACATAAACTCTATTTCAGCAAATAAATTCAAACAAGGCACTTCCACAATTTTATACTAATATTAAACTATTTATAAAAAGCTGTAATATGACTTCCTTATAGTATGAGAAAGAAATAAAGGAGTCATTCAGTCAATATTTACTTTGTCTACTCTATGCCTAACACTAGAGTAGGTGCAGGGGATACCAAAATATGTAATATAGTCTAACAAGGAGAAATTTATATTCTAGCAGAATGCATAAACTATAACTATTCCAGAGTATGATGAAATATGAGAGCAAAAGTGCACATAAACAGACAAGGTGCCAGGAGTGTATGAAAACAATAGTTCTGCCTCCACTGGCTGTAAGCTCCTCAAAGACAGAATCCATATTTATTCAATCACTGCTGGGGGATTACTAGCTCCCAGCATAGTGTTGGGCACATGGTAGATGTTCAATAAATATTTGTTGGCTAAAAAAGAGGGAAGGTTTCACATAGAAGGTGACAAAAGAGATGAGCATTAAAACACAAGTAAAAGTTACATAGACAAAAAGGATGGAAAGGGCATTCCACTCAGAAGGGACAAATTAATTACACCCACCTTACACTAATTTACTCTAATGTAAATAATAACATTTTCTACAACCAGCCTTCACCCAGCTAAAAATTTCCTAAAATGAGTATTTTCATTTTTAAAAAGTAGAAAATAAACTATCAAAGTCTCCACTATCCACAGGATACCGCACATAAGATTTTAAGTGTATCAGCCCAATCACTACCAGTACAAACAAAGCCAAAGAAAAGTAATTTATAACTAAGTACAAAAATGGAATAAAATAGTTTTAACCACATACCATTTTAAGTTGAATTTCATGAAACTCAAGTTATAAAATTTAACTTACTAAGTAATATGAGCTAAAACAAAAATAGGAAAAAAAAAATTTAAGTCTTCACCTGATTTGTTCTTACTGATTTTTAGAGAGAGAAGAAGGGAAAGAGGGAGGGAGAGACAGAGAGAGAGAGAGACAGACACACCAATGCAAGACAGAAGCATTGACTTGTCTCCCAGACATGCCCCAACCAGGGATCGAACCCGAAACCTAGCTATGTGCCCTGACCGGAAATCAAACCCGCAACCTTTTGGTGTACAAGATGATGCTCCAATCAACTGAGCCACCTGGCTGGGGTGGGGAATTAATTTTATTCCAAAAAATATCACTGAAGGCAGTTATTAGACTAAGTCTGATACGTTATGTTATACCAAGTTCTGAGTGTGTGACATTTTCAGTCATGCTTTAGGTCAATGATAAATATGAGCTAGCTGTTGGTTTGGTCAACCTTCTATGGGCTGACAAATATTTTCTAAAATGGTCAACAAAGGTAGTAAATATTTTAGGCTGTGGACTACATGGTCTTTCCACTATTTAACTCTGTTTTTTTGTGGCATGATAGTAGCATAGACAATACATGAATGAATGGGTGTGGCAGAGTTCTAATCTTTATTTACATAAACAGTAAACAGGTGGCTGGCCATGACCACTGTTTGCTAACCCCAGTTCTAGAGTCTCAAAGTGACTTCTTCATAATTCTTTTATCAAGACAGCTTTCAAACACTTTCACACATACTGTAGTAGTACAAGTACCACATGACCTTACTCATATGTGGAATCTAGGGAATAGAATAGACTGACGAACAAGATACCACCACAGGTATGAAAGCATGGAACAGACGACAGATCTGAGGGGAGGTGGGAAGGAGGGCGGGAAGAGATTAACCAAAGAACTTACAAGCATCTGTGAACACTCTCCAGGGACACAGACAATGGACAGGTGGGGGCCTGGGGAGGGGTGGGAGATGGGTGGAGGGGGGTAAG